TGGTGCTTGTGGCATCATTTTAAATTCTTGTAGTCCAAATAGTTCACAGTATAAGGCAAATTTAACATGTGAATACATTTGCAAGGATTTGAGACGACAACATAAATCCTTGAGAGAATTTAAATTTGTATTATTGTCGTGATGGCTTTGCCCTTATGCTCACATCCAAAGAGAAGATAGACTGATCAAATTTCATAATTTTATTTTAGTTCATGATATTTTTTCCTAATATGAGTTAGGTCATTGAATATTGCCTATACTTGCTTGTTGAATTTACACGGGTAACTCTCTGTTTTGCTATAATTGTAATGCTGTGTAACATATTATAGGTCTTCTATGATACTTCTCCATCCTCTGCTGATATTTGAGTTTGATTTTTGAACGAATGGAATCTTTTGGCTATGATTGGCACCCATAATAAGAATGTTGTATGTTTTGTAATGAAATCTCAAACTATAACCCATCTGTTTTTAAGAGATGCATAGGCTACAGTGAAGTTATATCTTCCGAGTCCTGATATCTTTTGGGAATTATATTAGGTGACAATGTAATTACTTCTTTTTAGTCAAGTTTTTGTTGCACTTGGAAGACACACACCGACATGATGGAATAACATTCTTAATTGGTTCTACCATGTTGCAGGCTCAGGGAGCATATTTGAGACCTTGCGACTGTCAAAACCTTTAATTGTGGTAGTTAATGAAGATTTAATGGACAATCATCAAAGTGAGAAGACCTAGCAGAGAGGAAGCATTCATATTGTGCGTGCGTCCTCAAATCCTCCATCAAGTTATTGCTGGTATGGATTTGGAGTCTCTCCTGCCATACCATCCCGGTGATGCCAAGCCAGTTGCCAAGCTTATAAACAGGTTTCTCGTTTTCCCAGATGATTGATGAATTACAGAATTTCATAATTTTGATCAGAGAAACCAAATATCTAGTGGGATACCTTGTTTGTGTGCCATTGAGTTGCATGTTTTGACGAGAGGCATACCACATTGTTGTAGGCATTTTGATGCCCCATAGTTACTATGGCAGAGTATAAATATCTTGAAGAATTATTCTTTAATTCTTGATGGAATAGCACAAAATATTGATGGATCAGTGAAAAATTGTATTTATTTACCCAAGAAAGGGAATTACATGTAAATGTAAATTAAAAAATTAATCTTCAATCTCTGGTATATCATTGAAGAAATTCACAAACAGCCTACTATCATTTAACAACTCGTCAAGATCAGGGATTGGTCCCGGAATCACAATATCATTCATAGATAACCATGTCAGTGAATCCGAAGTCTGTGAACCATCTGACGACAACAACGATGAAGATGTTGACGAAGATGTTGACGGAGTTGAAGCCGACATCAACTTGTTCTCTCTTCTACTTCTTTTTGCCTTAGGGCATGGCCATTGCGGTAAAATTTCCCTCCCTTGAGAATGTAAAGAACTATAAAAACAGTATTCATGTTGCCTTGCCAATTTAAATTTATTTTTGAGACCTGATTTCGGTTTTGGTGGTCTGCCTCGACCACGCTTGATTGGTATCTTGACCATCCTGCACTATGCTGAAAAAAATTGCCTTAAAAAAAAATTATAAAAAGGACAAAACAAAGTTTTTTACTTTGCTTTAATGTTTAAACTTCGGATAGTATGAATTATTTACTCAAACGTATATTATGGAAACCTTTGATTGAATTTATAATAGTGAGAAGTTATTATAATCCTAATAGGATTTTGATTTTGTAATTCTAATCTAACGGGAGAATCACTGTTGACTTAGATCAAGGATATGGTTTTCTTTTATCCAAAGGGAAAGATAAAGTAATGGGTTTCCTAATGAGATAAGAGTTTGAAAATAATTCAATTTCATGGTTTTATTAGAAGTCCATTAGTTTATGAACGTATAATAGATAGCGGATTTTTTTTTTTTTTCTGTCTTTTATTGAATCTTTTTCAAGACTTAATAGATAATTTGATAAACCAATGATTTTTTGTTTTTTTTCGTGTTTCAGAATACGGTTAACCATATATTAACTAATTGATTAGATAAATTGGATTGAATTTTGCAGTTTTTTCTTTTATATATTTTTAAACTCTGATAATTTTCAGAGTAAAAGTATTTGTGAAGAAGAGAAAAGAATAATTTTGATCCTTCTTTCAAACTTTCTTTTGAATTGTTTATGGATTGAAAATAAGTTTACAAAGTGGATTAGATAAATAAAATATAAAATAATTGAGGTCATAAAAGAATAAAGAAAAAAAAATTATGTAAGTCAATGTCTTGGAAATAATGATAATTAAATTAACTAGTAATTAGTCAACAAATATTGGCTAATTATATTTATAGTATTAATTATGTAATTAACCCTAGATTGAAAGTATGTATTTGTAAGATATTCTTTTCTTGAATCAACACAAGGATTAAACTAATAACATAAGATAGTGAAGATGCTTTTGTATGGTGTGGTGGCACGTTTATTCCTTGAATGCTTTTCTTTTTTCTTTCAAAAGCAATTCAACAAAACTATATTCTAATTAAAAGATAATATATTTCATATGTAACACATCACATTTACATCCAACTATATTATATATGTGTACTTAGATACATTTAACAAGCTAACTTTTTGATTGATTGAAAAAAAATATTCTCCCTTGGACCATGTTTCATGTGTTTATTTAGTTCAAATTGGAAAAAAAGATATTGTTGAATTGTATTGTCAGACCGATTCTTCATCCGAAAATTGAAGAAGAATGTAATGTTTGATCAGCTTGCAAACCCTTTTTTTAATATCTTCATTGGTGGTGTCTTTTCACCCAAAGCGGAAACTGAACTAAACATATGCAATGCACCCATCCGTGGGTATCCTAAAGTGAATTGGAGATATTGTAGATATACGCACGGTCTCAGATTCAATTTCCCATTTGAGCATCTGCGATTTAAGTGAGGGGTTGCGACGATGACTTGTTGGGTTAGTCTCTCTCGATCATTAGTTAAAGTGCATATAAACTGCTTAAATACTTTAGTTAAAAAAAAAAAAAAAAAGATTGAACATATGCTCCATTAACTAACGATAATGGATGTGACAATTAGCACACCAACTTTTTGATGAAATGAAAAAAAAAAAGGAAATTTCTTGCCTTTGTCTCTTGTTTACAAGTTCATCGAATATTAAACTGAAAACTGTAATGTGGAAAAATTCTAGTAGTTAATAGAATAGTTAAAACAGTATGAATTTGATCAAAGATTCCAACTGTCTATAAAGATCCAAATCTAGTGAAATTTGTATGAAAATGATTGATTAATACTGGTCATCCTTAACATGTAGCAAAGCAAACCCTAAGGAATTAAAAAATGAAAAAAAAATAAAAATAAAAAAAGGTGAACACATTCATATATACACATCTCCCTTATGCCCACAAGTTGTAAGTATAATAAAATATTCTAGTGGAGTTATGAACTAAAGCCCATTAAAATATGCTCACCAAGTGTTTGATTATTTTTCTGAATATATTCACTGTGATGGCAATTGGACACTGAGAAAGCGGAAAGTTGAGAACTTTATCAAACATTTTTCAGAGTATAACAGAACTTTGTTTCTGGTTTAGCCCTCAACTAGAATCTCAATGGTACAATAATATATTTTTACTTCATGCCTTGTACAGAAACACAAAACTAACTTCTATTGTGTTCCTTTACATAGACAGATTTTTCATATTGGCTTGTGCCCTTTACCTAGAATCATTTCTTTTTGTTGCTGTCCACAAATCCATTGATTTTTTTTTTTGGTGTATCTGATCTTGCATTCACATTATGCTTTTTAGATCTTATAAATTTAGAGGTTTTGGATGAAATTTTCTAATCAAATTTTGGGATTAATTGAAGGGAATAAATGTAGAAGGAAGATTGGATTTGTGAAAGGTTTTGTTTGTAGAAAGAGAGGTTGAAGAAAGAGAGGGGCATTAGATTTGATCTTTTTTGTAGCAAAATTTTGCAGATTGTAAAAGTGAATTCCCCACAACACTTATTCTTACACTTTTGACCAAATTTAGAAAAATTCTTCTCCACCACTGTTAAAAAATATAGTACTTCCAATTACTTCTTCTGCAATTCACTCCTTTATTCCTCCTTGCAAAACCTCACTAGAAAAAATTCCAAAGCAATCTAATCTCATAACCTAGAAATACCAAGCTTCATAGCACATACTTTCCCTATTTACCCAACACCCTTTTTTTACTATAAAAGACCTACTAGATTATCTAGACAAAGTTAACACAAAATGAAAGAAAAATGGTGTTAGAAAGTGGTTTTGTATAACATTTTCTACGTGTTTATGTAGAAATACTCATTAATACGTATTCAACGGCCTAATTTTGGTAATGTTAAAAGTACTTTTGAATACTATCTTAATAGATCGAGATGTATACAACCAACATTAAATAAATAAACCATTGAATTTTGAAAGCATTTTCTACAATTCAAATGTATTTTAGTAAATGAAGATGTATACTATCAGCATGAATTAAAGAACCCAAGAAACCATTAATGCTCAATCTCCTTTTGATCTTTTAAGATTGAGTTTATGTAGATTAAAGCCTACTGGCAAAGTATGCAGTGTCAGCCTATCTAGCTCACCTTTGCCTAAAGAACCCACTAGCTAGAAGAACATAACCACAAGGAAGCTAGAATTAGAATCTACTTTTGACTGACTTGACTATATTACCCTCATCATTTTCCCTTATTAACAGATTTATTCACCATTAATCACAATCTTAACCAGTATATATACCTGAAAAAGGAATAGCTTGACAGGGTAAGGGCATTGTGGGAATTAAGAAAATGTTTGATGAAGGCATGAAGCTTCTATTATAACAGGCTAATGCTATAATAACCCTTAAACCTTTTCATAATCTGACAAAGGAATTGCTGGAGAAGCATATAAGGTGTTTTGTTTTTGTTTTTGTTTTTTTTTTGTTTTTCTGTTGCCAAAAAACATTACAAGAAGCACAAATAGTAGTACCATTTATTTCTACAACAAAAAACAAATTGTTCTTTGTTTCACTTGTTGCCATGATTTCTCTGGCTGATGTTTACCATGTTTTGGCTGCAACTATCCCATTATATGTTGCCATGATGCTGGCTTATGTCTCTGTGAAATGGTGGAAACTGTTTTCCCCAGATCAATGTGCAGGCATAAACAAGTTTGTTGCGAAATTCTCAATCCCTCTATTGTCATTCCAAGTGATTGCAAATAACAATCCTTATAAGATGAACCTCAAGCTCATATATGCTGACTTTATGCAGAAACTATTCGCCTTTTTAGTACTGGTAATAGTCACAAAAATCAGTTCTAGAGGGGGTTTAAGGTGGATCATAACAGGCCTTTCTTTGTCGACACTGCCTAATACTTTGATCCTGGGAATTCCATTGTTGAAAGCCATGTATGGTGATGCTGCAGCTGATCTCCTTGCTCAAATAGTTGTCTTGCAGAGCTTGATTTGGTATAACATATTGTTGTTTCTTTTCGAGCTTAATGTCGCCAAAACTGCTGCTGTTACTCCAAATCCTGAACCCACAGGTATTCTGATATGAAGTCTCAAACTTGAAATGCATTAGTGATTCTGTTTTCAGTCTTGTTCAGTCAACAGTTGAACTGGAGAAACAAAACAACAAAAACACAACCACAACATGGTGTAAATGTATTAAGTACTTTTATGTCATTTAAAGATTTTGTTGTGTTTTTTCTGCTAGAAGAGGAACTGGAGGCGGTGCAAGAATCGCAATCTAAAGAGGGGGGATCAGGGGAAGCTCAGAACAGAACAGCTAGGAAACTCAAAACCATGCGCATTCTCTTGATAGTGGGAAGAAAGCTCATAGCCAACCCCAATACACATGCAACTTTTCTAAGTCTCATTTGGGCTAGTATTCAATTCAGGCAAGTCTATTATAAACACTTAATTTTCTCTTTACTTCAATTTGAGATTCTTCTTATAGAGATTGTAAATTTGTTGCAGGTGGGGAGTGAAATTGCCAGAAATTATAGATAAATCAATAATGATATTGTCTACGGGAGGACTTGGAATGGCAATGTTCAGCTTAGGTATGATTATGCATCACCATTATCCTACATTAAATTTATTAAATTCCTCCCTGAAAAAAAAAAAAAAAATCTTGACAGGACTTTTCATGGCAACAAGGCCAAGCATAATAGCTTGCGGGACGCGATTGGCAGCAGTGGCTATGGCACTGAAGTTCCTTCTGGGACCTGCTGTAATGGCAGCAGCCTCTCTTGCTTGTGGACTAAGGGGCAAATTGTTTAGAGTGGCATTTGTACAGGTGCATAGAAACCTTGTTAATTCTGTCAACCAACAAATACAAATATACAATACAAGGGGGCTAAAGTTAAATCTGTGTGTTTAAGTGCAGGCAGCTCTTCCTCAAGGAATCGTTCCGTTCGTTTTCGCAAAAGAGTACAATGTTCATCCAGATGTATTGAGTACAGGGTACTTCATTCTTCAATGATTCTCTTTTCATTCCATCTCTGTATAAGACACTAGTTTTTGAGACCTATTTCTTTTGGTTTCAGGGTACTTTTTGGCTTGATCGTAGCCTTGCCAATAGCATTGGCATACTATTTCCTGTTAGCATTGTAAAATGCCAAGGAAATTAGATGCAACACAACATCAAAAGAAGTTTATGCGGTGCAGTTTCAAACTCAGGAAAGAGATTAAAGTGTTAAAAAGAAGAATTTTAGTTGTAGAAATGAAGTCTTATTCAGTTTATTCAAATTTCTTCTTCCCCATGTGAATGCAATACATTTTCATCTTTCTTTATCTTTTTTTAACCCTTTTCCCCCTGCAAATAGAACATGTAAATGTAACTATACAGAAAGTATAAGCTTATGAAATGATGGAAAAACCAAAAAAAAACCAGTTATCAGTAAATCTACAACCTGCTTTTGCGATTAACAACATAAGCCTTGGTTCAATATATTAGCTTGAAGCTCTTCTCGAATTACAAGAAGTTCATAGTCTACTAAAAGTTTAAAAAAGAAATCTTCAAGATCAAATACCAGAGATCAGTGTATTAATGGTTGAAGTTAGATTGGGAGATCCATGGACAGAGAAATTTCTAAACAAGGAATGACATTGATTAACTCTTATCCTTGATCTAAAATAATAAATACAGTCCAATCTAGTAGTATTCTAGTACTTCCAAATTCATGAGGTCACTTTCATCAAATTTTGTGCTTCTGCACCACGTTATGGCATTATCACTAACTTTTTCTTTGACATTTTCTTTTCTCAGCAAAATTGGCTTAAATCTCAATTCATAATTTCTTTTGTGCGTAAATTTCTATGATAAGATTATGCTGTTAGACAATGTCTAATGCATGATTATTAATTACAGGTAGTATGTGTGACATTATTCTAAATAAAAACCTTAGTTATAAGAAAAGTAATAATAATAAATAAATAAATAAAAAGGAAATATAGGCCAAAAAATTGATTACCACAAAAAAATTGAAAATTATCAATAAAATGGATTGTGGGTTTTGAGGCTGTGAAGCCCAACTCAAAACTGCTAGAACCCTACCCCATCAAACGGTAAAACCCCAATATTAAACCTCAAAAAAGAAAAAAGAAAAATCCAAAGTGAACGGCCAGATCACCGCAACACCGACTGACTCTTTTAATCTAACGGCCCAGGATTTTTCTTGGGAAACAAGAGAACAAAATCCCACGAAAACAGAGGTGAAATTAGGGTTTTCCTTCTTTTCTGTGGCCTATATATTAAATCTACATCATACCTATCTTTCTTTATAGTTTTTCCCTTCTGGGTTTTTCTGGGTACCCGTTAAATTTTTCGAAAACAAGAAAAAAAATTTCAATCATGGCCAAGGGTCCTGGTCTCTACACTGATATTGGCAAAAAAGCCAGAGGTCTCTTTTTTTTTTAATTTTTTTAAATTCTGCATTGAAATTTTTTGTGGGTAACTATATTCATGATACTTATATGGGTTTGTGATTGTTTGAAGCATAGATCTCCTTTACAAGGATTACCAGAGTGACCACAAGTTCACTGTCACTACCTACTCTCCAACTGGAGTTGTAAGTTTATTTTTTTATTTTTTTTGGGTTTCAAAGTTTTGTTTTTGATTCATTTATGTTTCTTCACTTCATTTGTTACTATGTTTATGAAGTAGTTACCAATTTGTTGCAATTTTTTGTTGTGTTTTTGTTTAGAAATAGTCAACTTGTCCTGTAGTTAGTTTACGATGCTAAATTTGGTTGATTAAGCTGCACTTATTTCATTGGAAGATGTTGGTGTTTAGAATAACTTATAATCTCAATGAGCTTTAAATCTCGCAAAGCTATCTAATTTCGTTTTATTATATTTTGTATCAGATGATTGTCCAGCGTATTCTATTTTTTGTTGGTTGTTTTTTGGATTTGTGATTTGGCTATAATTGGGATATATATTTTTTCGTATCTTTTTTGATTGATTTGGTGGTCAGGATTGTGTCTGGTAAGGCGAAGTGAGCAGTTTGTGATGATTTTTGTTATTAACAAATATCAGAGCAGTTTGTTTCTCTTTTACTATTTTTTGGATTTTGAGCTTCCTGGTTTGCTCACTGCATGTCCATTAGATGTTTGTAATTTGGTTTTCTGTATGTTTCTTACTTTGTCATGTGATTGATTTTTTGTCGAAAATGGTTGACATTTGGGGTTTCCTATTTAGAAAACGTACAAATTTTATGATGTACTCTGTTCTCCTCTCTAATTTTCACCACTATGCAGGCTATTACCTCTTCAGGAACGAAGAAGGGAGAACTATTTCTGGCTGATGTTAATACTCAGCTGAAGAACAAGAATGTCACCGCTGATATCAAAGTGGATACAAGCTCAAATGTAAACTTTTATTTAGTTGTTTAGTTGTTCATGTAATCTTTTTGGCTTCCTTCTCTACTTTTTTTAACCTTTTATCTTTCAAGAACTTTTTTACTGAAATCTGTGTAATAATCAGCTGTTTACAACTATCACGGTTGATGAACCTGCTCCTGGGCTGAAAACTATATTGAGCTTCAAAGTTCCTGATCAAAGGTCGGGCAAGGTAAGCAATTTTATATCCTGTACTTCAGTCTATATTGAAATTTGCATCTTATTGTAACTCACATAACTTTCATAATTTGCTTTCTTGTTCTGTGAGTTGAGAACTTGTAACAACTAATTTAATTTGTATGTTTTTCAACCATGCACTGAAAATTTCACTTACAGTTCATACTATGATTAGTGATCTTATTTTATCATAATTATGTCACAGATTGAACTCCAGTATTTGCATGATTATGCGGGGATTAGCACAAGCATTGGGTTGACAGCAAACCCCATTGTTAACTTCTCAGGTGTTGTTGGAACTAATGTTCTCTCACTTGGAACTGATGTGTCATTTGACTCCAAATCTGGGGACTTCACAAAATGTAATGCTGGATTGAGCTTCTGCAATGCAGACCTGATTGCCGCATTGACTTTGTAAGTACTGTCTTGCATTTCTCTGTGTGCCTGTTTTGTTTGTGTGGATCTTATCAAAGGATCATTTGCATTTCTTTCCCTTTCACTAAGCATCTTGCATGTTGTGATTTTCCGAATTGAAATTCCATTACAGATGCCAGACATTTATATCATAGTTAGTTGAGTTAATTTTTCTCTATGCAGAACTAGTGTAATTTACTGATCAACACAATTCATTACCCGCATTAATTACGTAGTCTGGTTTAGCTTAAATAAAAGGAATCTTCTTGTTTTTTTGATAGCTTTATTTGGTCAGTTTGAGACCTAAGCAATGATGGCAACATTCTTGCTTTTTTTTGGCTTCTGCTATAGTTGGTTAACTGAATAGGAAAGCAACTTTACCTACTGGAGCATGATGTTTGCTACGTTGAAATGCTTCTCTTTTTTCTTATATTGATGCTTGTGTTTGAGACTGAAGCATTCACATTTGTGTGGTACAGGAACAACAAGGGCGACTCCCTAAGTGGGTCCTACTACCACATTGTCAACCCCTTGACAAGCACAGCTGTTGGTGCAGAAGTAACCCATAGCTTCTCAACCAACGAGAATACCATCACTGTTGGAACCCAGCACGCATTAGATCCATTGACCACAGTGAAGGCACGATTGAACAACACTGGCAAGGCGAGCGCTCTCATCCAGCATGAGTGGCGTCCAAAGTCACTCTTCACCATTTCTGGTGAGGTAGACACAAAGGCCATTGAGAAGAGTGCCAAGGTTGGACTCGCCTTGGCTCTTAAACCCTGAGGGGAGAACCTTCTAGTAGGCATTAGGAGCACAGGGTAATTGTTTGTTGGGATGGACGTCTTAATGTCGTTTCCTTCTATTTCATCGGTTTTGGATTTGTAAAAATAAAAAATTAGAAGGGTCACAAACCTGTGTCTAAACTTTTTTGAGAGTTCTTAACAATCAACAACAATCTTTTATTAAAATTCATGTTGAATCTTGGTATTTTGAGAGCAGTTTTGTTCTAATTCTTTGATGGCTATCTGAAGCAATTTTATTTCTTGATGTGTCAATGTTTCTATTATCATGATGCTCAACACAAGTTTAACATAGAAAGTTTAACACACTTTATATTACAAGTGGAACCCAAATTATGATGAAAATTCAGAGGCCAGAGAAATCCTGGAGGAGGAACAAAAAGTCTTGTTCACTCTGTAACCTCGAGCAAACCTCACAGGAAATTTAAAGAGTTCTACAGAGAAGATGCCTGAAGCAACCCATTTCTAATCTGTGTGGCTACATCATGAACAGCTCCAGGTCCATGAGGAATAAACACAGATGAAGATTTAGAAGAAGCTCCAATTTCCTTCATGGTGTCGAAGTACTGAGTGATGAGGACCATGTCTAGAACGTCCTTAGCAGTAGTTCCCGGCACATTTTCTGAGAATCCGAGCACACTATCTCTTAAACCATCTACAATCGCTTGGCGCTGCCTGGCAATACCTACTCCTGAGAGATACTTGGACTCGGCCTCGCCTTCTGCTCGCTTTATCTGTACAATTTTCTCTGCTTCTGCTTTCTCGTTTGCTGCTAGTCTCAGCCTTGCAGCTGCCAGAATTCAACTTATTCAGAATAATAAAACTATCAACCAAGAAAAGCTGGTTTGGTAGAGATGGATAGCTCACCAGCATTAATTTCGTTCATCGCACGTTTGACATGGTCGTCTGGTTCAATGTCGACGATGAGTGTCTGAACAATTTCATACCCATATGCAGACATAGCCTGTAAGTCAAAACAAGCAACAAGTTAAATCTTGCTCTGAGACATGGATCTGAAGAAATTTTGATGATTTCTTGCCTTTTCAAGTTCTTCTTCAACAACTTTTGCAATTTCATTTTTTTGTTCAAAAACATCATCCAGGTCCATCTTGGGAACACTTGCCCTGATCACTGAACAATCAATCACATATATTAAAACCGAAATACATCAGGATATTCAGTAATCGTTTTTCTTTTTAACATACCATCAAAAACATAGGCTTGAATTTGGGTTCTGGTGTTGCTAAGTTTGTAGAAAGCATCACTGGCCTTATCTGCCAGGGCATGGTATTGAACAGATGCCACAACATTCACAAACACATTATCCTGCAAACACAATCGTCATATCCCACTTCTTCACTTCCAAAAACTAAAAATCTTTTGATCTTCCATGCAAGAAAATTTGGTAAAAAGTTTGACATTAATTGCAGAAAATCATGACAGATTTGCTCAAACCTTTGTCTTGGTTTCACAGCGCACATCCAATTGCTGCAACCTGAGTGAGAGATGGCCAGCCAGCCGACGCCCTAAGCACCAAGGTAGACAGTGGCATCCTGGTTCAAGTACTTCATCAAACCTACCAAATCTCTCTTTGATTGCAACTGTGGATTGGTCAACTTGAACACAACATAGCAAATTTCCCATTTCAATCCAATCTTTTATACCCTGAAAAAGAAAAAGGAAGACAGATTTTGCACGTAAATACCAAACAAACTTTCCTCTTGCTCCGTCTCTCTCTTTTCTTTGTGTTTATACACGGATCTTGATAATGAATCGTTTATGATTGTTTCTTTGACAATTTGTTTTATTTGTTACAGAGAGTTGAGGAATACAATATTTATTCAGTTGGATCCGGGATTTAACACAAATATAAAGGTTTTACTAACAGAGATTCAACTACTAAAAAAAATCATTACCATTAACACAAAAATTAACTTAAAACCCTCATCAATCGAAGTAAATAAAGTGAAAAAAGATGTATCTTGAAAAGCTTTAGAGACCGAAAATTTACGTACCTGTAGCTAACAAAAAGGATGTCAGTGGTCAATGAGAAGGGAAACAAGCAAGAGAAGGAAGATAAATATGTTAATGCAAGAAGATTAAAACAAGATAAACCATTATAATACTCTCCGCAAGAGAGTCCATAGAATAGGATTAACATCATTAACTTTAAAAATATAGCTGTCAATGGAAAATTAAGTTTCTTTATTTTACAAAGCATCTTCCTTGTCATTGTTATACTGTACAATATAATGAAGAAGTGATATTATTAAATAGGGTAATGAGATATTCTTTTCTCTTCAAAAGAACCTTCCTGGTGGTTATCACTTCATCATGTCAAATTGTGCTCAAGGGGCCAATTATATTTAGCTAAGCTTCGAATTTGGATGGTAGCTACCAAGCTGCTTTCAAGGAATAACACACTGAAAAGGCAAGAGTTGAATAGTTCTGTCTGGTTTTTTGTCATTTTATTTTGTCTGCTTGTTAACTCTTGACCACCAAAAAATGTTCAAGGAAATAATTAACATCATGATAATCATATTGAAAATCTATACTGATTCTAAAATTCTTGTCTTGATATGACTAGAATTATTATTATTTTTTTCAAGGAAAGAGAGAATTATTTAAGGTAGATAATGTTGCAGGGAATATAATATTGTTCTCCGGTTGAGTTTGGTTTAGGGTGATATAAGATTAATCCCATAATCTTTGTTTAATTTTTAAGATTCTCTAGTTTGGTTGTCAAGTAATAAAAATTACGTAATCTTTTATTGTAAATAGTGTTTACTGTCGATAATATTGGGAGTAATCAAATTACTTTCTCAAGGGGTGTTAATATAAGATTATCGAGGTAATCTTAATTTTGACCCTATTTTACCCTTAATCTTTTTATCATTTCGGACACATTTGCCCTCATATGTCTACCAAATAACAATTACCCAGACTCCTTACATTTGAAAATATAGCTAAAACACTATAGCCACAAAAAAATTTAAAAGTTAACAAAATACCCTTAGCCACCCAAGACCACCATCGGCCGGTAACCACCACCGTTGATCGCCAGCGAAAGTCATCATATCGGGGCAAGAACAGCGAGATCTTGCTGGTCGTGTGCCTGTAAAGAGGTTTCCGGCCGTTTCACAGCCAAAGATGTGGCTGTGAAACGCCATAGATCTGGCCTTCTCATGACCACATCTTTGGCTGTGAAACGGCTATATTCACAACCAAATCTAGCCATTTTTGGCCATGAATCTTTGATCCATGGCTAGATTAGGCCTTACCAGCGCATGACCAACTAGATCCGATCGGTCGTGCACCATTACGGCGGCTACCAGCGGTGGTGGCTGGCTGCCGGTAGTGGCTTAGGGTGGGTGAGGGTGATTTTGCTACAAATTAAAGTTATATAGGGCTAGGGTGCTTTAGCAAAATTTCAAATATAGGGGGTTAAAAGAAATAATTTAAAAAATAATAGATAAAATAATATTATATTATTACTTAAAGAGGAGGGCAATCTAATAATCTATATAACATATCCACTCATTTATCCTTCCAACCAAACATATTATTATAACATACCCACCAATTTATTTCAACCAACCAAACACATTTCTCTAAAGATTCCTTGGTAATCTATCTTTCGAGTAATACAACATTCTTCCATAATACAACATTTCCTGAACCAAACACACCCTTCAGGTCATGAATTTGCAGTTCTCAAAGTCAGAGTGATGCATCAGTATTGAAACACCAGCCAACCACACGCAATAAAATAAACAGAAAAGTAAATAAAAGACACTTTATTTACCCTGGTTCGTTCTAATTAAGGAACTACGCTTAACATTCAAATAGAGATTTTATTCAATTTCAAAGCTATGCAGCAATTACAAATCAATAATTGATGGCAGCTCACTCTCTCTATTTTCTTGTAACCCTAGGTTTCTCACTATTACATTATATAATAGAAAAAACCCTACCCCATTTAGGCCTACTCAAATCTAACTTGACCCAGGCCCAAATATTAGTAAAACGATAACAAGTCTAATTACTAATTGGACTTACCGAATGCATCTGCGTAAGGGTCAAGACCATGCAAAGTTTGAACCATATCTAACAATCAGCAACTTTAAATGTTGTGTCTATAGAGTTAAATATTGGTGTTTATTCTCAAGGAAGTCCACAGAACAAAGATATTCATGTTTCAATGATGGTAAACTTCCTATTTTCTCAAGCTCTGCTATATGCTTATTCTAACAATTGTTTCAAATGATTACAGTGCCAACAATATTTTCTCTGGTGATTTTGATCCTAGAAGTATTTACAGTTTCGTAATGTTTTCAAAATTTAAAAGGTGAAAATGTAAGTAATCTCATAGTGATGCAGCTTTTATTTGAAAAAATTGACAAAGTTGTGTAGGAATTTGCATGCTGAGTTAACAATATTCGACGATTTTTCTTTCTGATTTTAGTAGCTTATATTGCTTGTATATAGATTAGTGATCTTCTTTAAGATGAGGAGGAAAGAAAAAAAAGCTTGTGGGCAATGTTTTAATAACTGGTCCAGTTAATGCCCTGATCAGGTGATCAGGTCCCAGGTTGACCGGTTTAACTTGTCCAATCGGCAGATTGGACCGGTGACTTCATCATGAAAGATTTTTTTTTCAAATTATAGTTGTGCACGTTAACATGGTTATTGTTTCAGGCGCATATTAGCTCGCATCGTTGCCAGACTTTTTTTCCCTTTTTTTCTGCCGTTTTTTCACCCAAAGTCACCCTTGTCACCACCATTGGAACCCCCACTCTCCCCTTTTCAAAACCATACCCTTTATCCCTTCTCATCACTTGCCGATTGTCGGCCATGACAATCGTGTCGAGCAATTGTCCTTTGTTGATTTTCGATCATTTTAAGGGACGACAACCCCAACCACCATCACCCTTAGACCAATTGACTTCTCCCCTACAAAACCCCAAAGTTCGTAAGCCATTCCACCCACCAATCGCCATCAATTACAAGCCAGGGTTTCATTGTTTCTTGGCCAAATTCTGACGATTTCAGCGACCAAAACTCAATTCGACACCACTTCCCAACTCACCATGATCCACCCTTCAAAACACCCCTAACCCCAATTCCTGTTTGCCCGCCCAACGCTAGCCAAGAGCCACCTCTTGAGTTAACACGGTTTTGGTAGGAAATCGGTTAGACTAGTGGTTCATTACAGTAACATCGGTCCAATCGTGGGTCAAACTAGGCTAACTCTTATTTCTAGTTTTTTATCTTGACCAGCCTGGCTTAGCCACCGGTTCTCAGTTTAACTGGTTAAACTGGCCAAGTCGAGCCAGGTTTTAAAACACAGCTTGAGGGTATCAAACCAATATTATAGGCTGTCAATGAATTCTTGTTTTTCTTTCACATTATCAAAAAATTTATTGGAATCCATCTCTGATATAAGATCTCTTACTTCCGCATTATAATTTGCTGTCATGTCCTTGTTAAACAAATCTTCCAAATGTGCTTAGTAACAAGAAATTGAGTTTAAATCATCAAGCATTAGATTACTCAGATATCAACCAGAGGATTCAAAAGCAAACATGTAAGAATGACTTCAACAACGACATAATGATTGACCTGTAGTCACGAAAGGATATCTTCTCAAGTTTCAATTCATGCTGTATTATGGGACAAATTCACGACAACACTTTTGCCTAAAAAAAGGCCAATTGTAAGAATGAATACAATGAGACCAAAAGTAAACAAATAGGATTGCCTTATTTTTCAAATTTGTTAATTCAAATTAGGAATTTATGATGAAGCTAAGCTATGCAGGTAAAGGAACAACGGAAGTAGACATGATAAATTGCAATTCCTTCCTATTAAGATTCTTCCAATGCAACTGGAGCAACATATACACAACTCCAGTTCACCAAACTTCTTGTGACAATCACAACTCTCCCAGCAATTCTAGTTTCTGTGTTCCCTGAAAACATTTATTGTCAAATGAAAATTTATTGACTTCCAGTGCTTTTCAAGCTCTTTGATACTCACCTTATAAAAATCCCTTTCTTCTTAGCACTCAATGTACCTTAAAAGGACTTTAATTTCTCCTTCTTTTCATCACTAACCTCATAGTAATGAGTTTTTATCTGATCAAATACGATTACTGCTTCAAACTCCTTCTTGATCTTCTTCAGTTCTATCACCATCTCCTATAATGTACTACTATCTACATTTCCTACAATCGTTTTACTAGCCTTTTCAACTAGAAATATTGCATTTTCTTCTAATCCTTACAAAGCTGTAAATACTGCCTAATCATTAGTTTCTCATACGAATTTACCATTTCATTCTCCTGTAGAAACTTATCTACTCCTGGATTAGTTATTTGAGGATACCATAGAGGATCTTGAGAAACAATTGGAGAGTTTAAAGTGATTATGAAATAAAATATATATCCTAATATAAAGTTGTAACAAGGGATACTTTTAATTAGAAACGACATGCCATCCTAATTGGCAATAGATAAGAGGATTAGGCTAAAATGGTTTTGTAATTCAAATTGTACAAAGCTCATTAAGCTATGTGAATGTGATATACATCTTTTATTCTATAATAAGTTTTCCATAGACGGTGTTATTTAATACAAATTGATATGTTTCATCATCTTGAAGTGTGTTACAAATCGTCTATCTGTTGCTCTTAAAGGTCTGCTATTAGCTTCCAACTTTTCATAAATCTTCATAATGTCTTCAACAATCCATCTTTCAATTTACATTCATGCTCCCTTACAAGAAAAGATGTTTTTCAATTTACACTCATGCTTACAAGAAGAGATATTGTGTTTTTCTACAAATGACAACAACTTCAAATCACAAAATCTTCATCTTTCAATTTACATTCATGCTTGCAATAAGATATTGGCAAGAAGAGTTATTTTTCAATAATTTACATTCATGCAAAATATGGTGTAGAAAAAGCCGTAATTTACCCATTCATTTATTGAAAATTGACTCACTCCCAAAAGTTAGCTCATGGGAGAAGGGAATCCAACC